CATGGTACGATCGCTCGACACGCCTCTCCAGGGTTTGAATATTACGCGTAGCGTGGAGATGGGGCAATAGTTGCTTCTATCATGGACTGAGTTGTTCTTGTGAACAGAAGTCAGTTTCGCTCTCTTGAAGTTGGTAGGGAAAGATCCACTCGCAATGCTAGCATTGTAGATATGAGTAAGGAAAGGAGCGATAGCGTTCAAAGCTGGATTTAAGGATTTAATTCCAATTCCGTCAAGTTTCAGTAGCTTTATTATCTGGAATGTTCTTAAGATCTTCAACCACCTGTTTTACACTAATTGGCGGGATGTGGAATACGGTTGAACTGTTGATGCGACTTTCTACAAAATCAATGAGTCGATGATTTTGCTCTTTGGTTTCCATTGCTGAGATGACCGTATCTGTGTTTTGTTGGATGTTAATAAAATATTTGTTGAAGGCGTTAGCCATTCCCGTGGAATATCCTGCAATGCAGATGTTTTTGCAGGTTAGCGCTGGGTAATTTTTGTTCGGCCCTACTCCTATTCCAGCACGCATTTTTACACACCCCTTGCTTCCTCTGTTTTCCGAATCCCAGATGACGAATTTAACACTCTCTCACTCCCTCAAAATGCACCTGCATTCCAGGCTAAGGGAAATCGGTCTCGCTATTTCGCTTTTAAAAAAATTTAAAAAATTCATCCCGTTAAGGCTGCGCTACTAGTGGCGCAGCATTACTGACTGGTTCACTGGTTATCACTGGATACATTTGGCCGTAACTTGTTCCGGTTTTAGAGATCAACCATTGGAGATTTTCGGGTATGAAACCAGCAATGAATTAGTTAAATCTTTGTCACAGTATCTAGCCAATCAAATCAAGTGTCTCCAGAGCCACCCTTTTCCTCATGCCAAGGCCCTGCCGGGTAGGAGGGAAGAGATTGAGTTGGCGGCAGCAGTGATATCAAACTTCGACTCTAAATCGAATTAACTCAACGAGCTATCGAGTAATTCCATTGGGGTGCACAAGTTAATTGTGTTAGTATTATCTCATACGATAAATGTGCTTACAATAAAATGATTTTGTGTTTAGACTGGTCAAGTTATCTCGAGAGTGAAAGGGAAATCACAAAACCGATGAAGATAAACCAGTTAACTTTGATTTGTAAAAACATGAAACGGAAAGAAAACACGAAAGCACA